ACGAACATCTTTTGCCTGATGATGAATGTGGAAGTTGAGGCCTGAGTGTGTATTTGAGAGCAGGTGGGTGTTGTGGCTGATAAGTCTCTGGAGTTTTGCTTCAGGTAGGATGATTGCCTGGCTGCCCTGCACCGAAGTGGTCTCTGCTCACCTCTCCACTTTCCTCCATCTCCAGCTTCTTCCAGTGACCTTGTATGTCCTCCTTTTGTCATGCCTGTACTGAAGTATTTCAGGTTTTTCTCAAGAATGCCAGCAAATGACTCATTGCTGAGTGCTGCCCTGTCTCAGGTTCATCTCCAGTGTCAAGGCTCAGCCTTTGGAAACTTGGGAGTCCTGGCCTAAGTTTGTCGGTGTCTCTCTCAGCGCTCTGGCTGCAGTGCATGCTGGAAGATGTAGTCTTGGTGGGGTGCACCTCCATATTAAAAAAAGAAGGGTGGCTCCATTTTATTCAAATTGGGTTCAGCCTTCTCCCTCCTGGCAGCTTGCTGACACTGTCCCGCTCAGCCCTGAGAGCCACTGAAGTTCTCTGGGCGCCTTGTGTGAGTGCAGAGGCGGGAGCACAACTCCTCCATTCAAAATCTTGCCTAATTCCACATTGAACAGCCTGTTTTGAAGCTCTGCGCCTTGGCGTGTTTTGCAACAGCTCGGACTCCCGCAGGGCGCAGGCGGTGGAGGGATCCTGCCCCCGTTGGGTGGCAGTTCTGGAGGGTGTCATGGCAAATCTCCTTTGTCTGCTACAGCCTGACTGATGTCTGGGGGAGAGTGAACCCTCCTCCCCTGCGTGATTTCTTGAGCTGAAAGCAGCAAGTGAGTGAGGAAGCTCCTTTGTGCAGATTTCTCCGTCTCCTCTTGTTCGTGCCAGCTGGCTCGCGTTCAACATTTCTCTTTTTTTCTCTCTCTCTTTTTTTCTCTCCTCTCTCCCCCAGCTCTAGAGAGAGGGGGCGGGGAGAAAGGGAACATCTTAAAAAGAAATCTGCAGAAAAGACATGGGAGTTACTTAACAAAAATCCAACCCAAACAAGCCCAGCTGGGGGATTACAGGCGCAGTGGTAGGAGCTGAGTGGGGAGTGAGTGCAGCAGCGTCTCCCCCCACCGCCCCGAGTTTCTTTAGTCGTAAAAGGAAACAAAAAGGGATCTCACGCAGAGGCAGTGGATGGGGAGAGCAGCCGACTGGCTGCCAGCAGCTGGAGGAACGGCCTCGGCACTGCAGCCCCTGGTGCTGCTGCCTCAGCTGGGGGCTTGTGGGGAGCCCTTTGGGGGTTTGGCAAGCTGTGGGGGCAGCATCCCTTCTATGCCACTGCCTTTGGCTCTTTAGGGAGGGAGCAGAGGGCTCTGCTCTCCCGGGTCGCTGCTGGCCAGAGCAACCATCTCACCAAACCTTCTGCTCCCTGCCTTGTGCCTGCTGGAGGAAATGCTGCATCCTGCAGATTTTTCTCCCCGCTTCCCTGTACTCTTTGCCGCTCCTTCTTGTGGGCATTCCTGAAAGTTAATCAGGGTGAAAATTGCAGTCAGTCATGTCTGGAAGCCACCAGAGGCTAATCCTGGAGCACTGCAGGCTGGAGCACATGGCTATGAGACAGTCTCCCTATGTGTGGGCTGGCTGCTGCCAGGAGAAGAGCTTTCTCCTACATCTTGTCGCCCTTGGGCAGTCAATCCTTCCCAGCTTTGGTCTCCTGGCCTCCGGTAACCAGCAGAGAAAGCCGGAGTGGCGCGGGTTCGGCAGGTTCTGAGCATCCTGCACTGGTTTTAGCACATAGAGACGGGGGCTGGCGCGGTTTCCTTGCTGCCTTTTGGAAGTGGAGCTGTTCTGGTGGAAGAGCTGTCTCTAGGTGTGTGTGCAGCCCTGAAAGTGAACTTTCAGGTTTGTGTCTGAATAGGGTTTGGCTCTGTCCCAGCCTGTAGATGTGGATTATAGAGGTCTCAGCACCTAATGGAGCTGAATTATTCATGTCTGGTGCTGTGTGTGTGCAGCATTCCCAAGCAGAAAGCTGTCTCCTTGTAGGATCTGCGCTCCAGGACTGCTCTTAAAACGCTTTGTTGGCAGGTCTCCAGGCCAACAAGTGAGCACATGCTTTTCATGTTGTGCGGGGATCAATTCTGCGATGGCAGGAGGTAAGGGGAAGGACACGTTTACAGCTGAATCAATCTCCTCGCTCTGTTTTCTGAGATGCTGTGATTTGTGGCAGCGTTACTCCCCCGACAGGAGAGTGGGAAGGATCTGGATACCACCCGGTGCTTCTCCAGCTTGGGCAAACGAGGCAGTGGGAAAGGCACCTCTTTCTCTAAGCCATGGGGTGTGGTAGCCAGGGGCTCCTATGCACCCAAAATAATGATGGTGTGTCAGGTTGGGGTCTCTGTGGGTCTGGCTTGGGAGAGGGACTCCAGATGCTCCTTTGGCTGCAGAGGCTGAGCCTGCAATAGTGGAGTAGAGAAATGGGGAACTGGGATGGGAGTTTTGGGGAGGGAAAATGCTGTGAGAAATGCTTTAGAGCCACATGTAATGGAGCATATTCAGGAGATGCCCCCAGATCATGTTCCAGGGTCCCGGCCTCCAGCTCTGCTCTGGAAAGGGTTGATCCCTGCCCCAGTCCCTCTTCCTGTGGTGGCATGTCTTGAGTTCTCTGCCTCACTCTCGTCACAACGTGCCTTTACCCTGCTCTTGCCAATCCAGCATGTTCCTGTCCGTCCTGTTTGTGGTTCCCTTCTATCTGCATTAGCAGAGCCTGGGCTCCCTCGGCACCTCCTCCGTAGGGTGAGGGTTTTTGCTCCTCTTGTTTTCTAACCCTTTGATTGTTCCTGGCTCTGCAATTGCCAGGGACCCAGCGGACTTCTGGGCTCCTTCTTCCTTTTGTTGTGGTAGGAATTGGCAAAAGCTGCTGCTGTTTGCAGAGTTTCAGACCCAAGTCCCGCTCATCTGCTGTCCTTATTCCACATGTATAAATAATACTTATGGAGATATGTGTGCGTGTGTATATGCACGTTTGGAGCAGCAAGGTGAATTCCGTGGTGGGAGTGCAGAGCTGGCCAAACTGGCATTGTGCAGGTGTTGCATGGAGCAGGTGATGCTACACGTGTTGCAGTACAACCCTGTAGATTGTCTGTCATTTTCCTATCACTGCAAGGTCAGATCCTTGTCTGCTTTTCCCTTTGACCTGAGCTCACCGTGGCTCTTTGCCTGTTCCAACTTTGGATCGGCAATTCTTGGATTTGGAGACTGAACTTCATCTCTGCTTGCAGCTCCTGTAGGTTTTTCCTGAGCATTAGTGGTCATCAGTGGTCCACTGGTACATTGGGATTGTTCCTGGATTCCATGCCTCAGCTTAGGGCTGGGAAGGGACTGGTATCAGCCAAAAATCTGGTTCATCCAGCTCATTACTGGCTTTGCCCACCTGCACAAAGGAATTGCCTTGGATCCATGACACTAAGAGTGTCATGCAGGGGTGAGGTGGTCACTGCCAGTTGCTGGCCCCATCGATGATTTGGAGAGAGGCTCTGGAAAGGCAGGTTGGTGGGATTGGACACACCAGCTTGGAACTGGGGAGCAGGTGCTGGAGCAGGAGTAGGAAGAGGAGGAGGAGGAGGCGGCCATAGAAACACGCAGGTCAGCTTTGGGAAGCCGTTAGCAACTCCGGTGCACAAAGTGATCTCCTGATTCGGCACTTTCCCTGCCGCTGAAATGAGAGGTCAGTGCTTTTCATTTCCAGCTTGCACGCAAGCCCCCCAGCTCCTGGGGTTAAAAATCTCCGTAATGACCTGTCAGAGAGTGGATTATTAGCTGTACAGAGCTGAGGATGCTGTGGGGAGCAGATGGAAAATGGTCTGGCTGCGGCAGCCTGGCTGATGAAAGAATCCCTGGCATTTTTACAGTGTTTGCGTCTCTGGAAACGCACCGTGAAGCTGCTTTCCAGGCTCCTGCCTGCTGGGGTTTGAAGAAATTTGTGTGTGTGTGGTGTGGGGTTTTTTTGGGTTGGATTTTTTCTTTTTTTTACTTCTAATTTCTCTTTAAATCACCTGTTTTTGAAGTGTCACTTGTAAATACCACCAGGAGCTGGCAGGCCTGAAGCTTGGCAGGGAAGGGGAGGACAGTGCTGCTGGAGAGAAGGCTCATCCAAATGGGTGGTCAAGGATTTCTTAAGGATTCTGGAGAGCAGGTGGCCTTGCTGGGCGGTGCTGGGAAGAAGCTGTTACATGTGTTAATTATGTCTCGTCAGGGTAATTGCCATGACTCGGGTGCTGTGTCAGGTTGCGTGTGGGTGTCTTTTTTGTTTCTCTCCCTGGGGGCGAGGCTGGGAAGCAGGGAGGAGATATTTTGGGCTCACCGGGGTCAGCTGTGGTGTGGGCAGGTAGGGCTGAGCCCCTTCTTCTCAGTAAAGACTGGCTGCTTATACAGTTACATCTCGGTTTCCCATTGGAAGCTTATCATGGCCAGAGGCGATGGTGGTAAACACTCCAAATCTGGGTACTGTGTTGCTCTGCCCAGAGGCGTGGGATGGGAACCCTTATGCTTCCCACTGCAGTTTGGCCTTTGGTGATTGCTCTGACACGTCCCAAGTGTCGCAGGCACTCTGAAGCCTGGGATTTATTTCCCACCAAGGCACTTGACTTCCCTGGTGAGCAGCTCTTGTCCCTTGCAACGAGGCTGGCGTGGAGAGGAGCCCTCCCTCTGGGTGGCATTGGCAGGAGAGGAATCAATCCTCCCTCCCAGGGGCAGCGCTCGATAATTCAGAGGGAAATGGTGAGCGGGGAAATGTGTGAGTAATGTCTTGTTGGAGCCGAGAGCCGTGACCTGCCAGGGCTGGTATTGATCGAGGACCGGTGCCAGATGGCTGCTGCTGCGGGGGCGGCTGTGGAGCAGCCCCAGCCCAGGGGGTGGCAGAAGGATGCTGTGAGGGGGATTTGAGAGGTTGGGGGTTTCACTCTGCCCAGATCTCTCCTGCCTGCAGGTGTGCCTGTCCAAGGCTCTTCATGTGTAACCCTGTTCTCTTTTCTCTCCCTTCTAGCAGCGATGCCGTCACCTGGGCAGACCCAGACCACTGGAAGCCCCCCAAGGACGTAGGTGACCCCCAGGGCGTAGAGGCAGGGAAGAGCCTTGAATCGTGAGGGGCCGTTAACTCTAAGATGTCCTTGAGCAGCGGAGCTTCCGGAGGGAAAGGAATTGATGCGAACCCGGTTGAGACGTATGACAGTGGGGATGAGTGGGACATTGGTGTAGGGAATCTCATCATTGACCTGGACGCTGATTTGGAGAAGGATCAGCAGAAATTGGAAATGTCGGGCTCCAAGGAGGTGGGGCTCCCGGCACCCAACGCAGTGGCAACACTACCGGATAACATCAAGTTTGTGAGCCCAGTGCCAGGCCCGCAAGGCAAGGAGGGCAAATCAAAGTCGAAAAGGAGCAAGACTGGTAAGGACAGTGGGAAGCCGACCCCAGGGTCCTCCCTGTTCACTCCCAATGAGGGAGCTGGTGGCAAGAAGGAGGTTCAAGGACGCTCTGGGGATGGTGCAAACTCAGGTGGTTTGGTGCCTGCCGTCACCCCGAAGAGCTCGGAGAAGTCAGCCAAGGCGTCTCGCAGTGTGGCTGGCTCCAAGAAGGAGAAGGAGGGCGGCTCATCCAAAAGCAAGAAGGAAAGGAGTGAGGGCGCAGGGACTGCGGCAGAGAAGGAGCCCAGCGTGCTGCAGCCCCTGGCCCTGGCAGTGAGGGTGGGACAGTATGATGGGGGTCAGGGGACAGAGCCTGCTGCTGCTGAGCAGCTTGGGAGTATAGCTATTGACACGGGAGCTGCGCTCAATCCCTTGGGAGTAAAGTCGGAGCTGGAGGATGGAGAAAGTGAGTGCCGGCAGCTGAAAAAGGTGAAGTCAGAGAAGGTAAGAAAGGTGTTGGGCATGGGTGCCATTGCTGCTGCTCACATGGTGTTGCTGTGACATGGTGTTGTGGTTGACAAGGGAGTGGCACTGTGTGTCTTGTACTGCTGGGGCCGGCACTGACATGTGGCTGGCGCCTCCTGGTTTAGGCGTGAGTGTCGTTTGGCCATGTGATGTGCTGGTGTCTGGACATGGCAGTAGAATGATACTGGTCAAGTCTGGCTTCTGGGAACCATGTGTGGGCACATCACCTACAGACTGTGTTCTGGGCACCATCCTGCTGTACCCTTTGAGATTTGATTTTCCTCAGCACTTTGGCTATGTGGAATATGTCTAGGCCTCTCTGGCCTCTGTCACTCTGAAGTCAAGGTAATGTCCTGGTGCTTTGTCTACTACAACTCCCAAGGGGACACAAAGAGTCTCTGCTGTGCTCTGTGTCCTGCTGGCTTCACCTTGTGTGTCAAGGTTTCCTGCAGCTCCCAAAGGAATGTATTTCTCTCCAGTTGCATCATGTGCAGAGAAGGATCCCTTAACATGTTAGTGGATGTGGGATCTGCATGGGCATGTGGGTGAGCACAGGGAGCAGGGCTGACAGAGTCACCGCCTCGTTCCCAGGTCTGTCAGTGGTACATGGGCTCTGTCCCACTTGTGGTGGTTATCTAGGGCTGGTGGGTGGCTGTGGGTGATGTTTGACATGTCACTCCTCTACTAACATGTGGCAGTGATGCTGAGCTGGCCGAGCTGCTCTTCCAGGTCACCAGAGGCACAAAAAGCCCTGCCAATGACAGATGGCCAATGGGGTGAGCGGCCGCCTGTCCATCTGGGTGATGCTGGGCTTTGGGTGGCTACTCTGTGTCTGGATGTGGCCATTTTTCAAGGACTCTTTGCTAGTTTCTGAGCAGTCACAGTGGCTGGTGTGATTTCTGATTCAAATGGGGAAGATTTTAGGCATGTGGAGGTCTATGCTTTCCTCCATGCCAGCTGCACACGGGGTGTTGCTGGTGTGTGCCTGTGAAGCCACGTGTATGTCACGCACAGGGTGAGCATCACAAGTGTGTGTTCGGGTTGGCTTGGCCCTATTGCCATCAACATGTGCAAGGGTGTCGGGACAGTGGCTGGGGAGTATGAAAAGCATTGTCACCATGTTTGCAGCCAGAAGTTCCCTGGGAGGATTTCTGCTTTGGCATAGGGATCACAGTGTGGGCACTGGGATGGGTGGGGAGGGCACAGTGGTGTCCTGGGGCAGGTGGTTGAAGCCTGTAAAATTCAGGAGTGGTGTGGAGACATCTTATTCCTTTGTCTGTTCTGGCAGTGGAACCAAAGTGAATGAAACCAGGAAGAGCAGCAGATGCTCTTTTGCATGATGGACTGGAATGCTGCTGCTAAAAGCTGTGGATGCTGAAAGTCCACCTGTGATTTGGGGCGCCTGAGTGTGTTTGTGGAGGAGAAACTCATCGGGGGGTGTACAGGGCAATGTGTTTTAGCTTGGGAAAAACATGAGGAGGACAGAAGCTTGGGAATTGATTTGGGAAATACCTCAACCTGCTTGGCTGTTATGTTCCCTCATAGCCATCTGTGCTGGCTGCTGTGACAGCCAACACTGGAGCTGGCTGGACCTTGGGTCATACCCTGCATGGCTTTGCTGTGTTCTTACAATTACAGATTTATTTCTTTCACTGATACAGCTGCAGAAACTCTTTGCAGTTGGTGATACCAGTGTGATGTGTGGTGTTGATGGATGAGAATCTCCACACACCCCGGTCATGTGTGGTGGCACCTGGAAACTGCTCTGTGTCCTGGACTTGTCCACCTGTGTGGGCAGCAGGGGAGGTGGGGGAGATTTTGCCCCCTCAGCCCCACTCAGGTGAGACTGCATCTGCAGAGCTGCCTCCAACCATGGGATCCCAACATAAGAAGGATGTGGAAGTGCTGGAGTGAGTCCAGAGAAGGCCATGGAGATCCTCTGAGGGCTGGAGCCCCTCTGCTCTGGAGCCAGGCTGGGTGAGCTGAGGGTGTTCACATGGAGAAGAGAAGGCTCCAGGGACACCTCAGAGCCCCTTCCAGTGCCTAAATGGTCTCCAGGAGAGCTGGAGAGGGACTTTGATCAAGGAGTACCAGGACACGGGGCAATGGCTTCCCACTTGCAGAAGACAGGGCTAGATGGGATATTGGGAAGAAACACTTTCCTGTGAGGGTGGTGAGGCCCTGGCACAGGTTTCTCTTGAGAAGCTGTGGCTACCCCCTCCCTGGAAGTGTTCCAGGCCAGGTTGGACAGGGCTTGAACCAGCCTGGTCTAGTAGGAGGTGTCCCTGCCCATTGCAGGAGGTGGAAAAAGATGGGCATGAATGTCGCTTCTAACGCAAATGATTCTATCTTCTCCATGCCAACACCTGGTGAGGATGGTTCTGCCATTTTACTTGTCCAGATTCAATCATAAGCCCCTTGCTAAAAGCTCAGGCTGAAGCGCTGATCCCTGTTTTGAGAAGGGATTTGATGTCTGGATCTGCAGGAACATGTGTCACTTAGGAGGAAGCATTGTCTGTGCTTCATCAGCCTCCTGGGGGCAGCTGGATTGCTTCCTTTGGGTTGGGAAAGCCGTGGGCGAGGAGAAGAAAGGTGTCTGCATGGTAAGGGGTGGGAAAGCTGTTTTGTGTCTTGAGGAAGAGACTGAGGCTGGGTGGATGCCTGGGGCAGGGTGGAGGACCAATGGGATGCAATGGGAGATGTGGCCTTGGGCTCCTCCTGTCTCCTGAAAGCTGTAGCAATGTCCCAAAAACTGCATATGGAGTCCAAAGGACAAGCCAAGAGCAGAGGTATGTGCTGGCTGTGGGAGGGACGGCAGCTCCTCCAGGCAGTGCATCGAGAGGATTAAGGTGGCAGGTTCATTCTGGCCTGGGGACAAACCCTGCTTGGCAAGCGAGAAACTTGCTCAGACTGAAACAGGAACAGCCACAGCGTGACTCAGCCCAACCTTTGGTCTCCGTCAGCTTGTCCTTTGTTTAACCCTGTACTGCTCCCACTTCCGTTTCGGGCAGGGAAGCTGGTCTCCATCTGCGGATGAAGAAAGGGAGACTGTCTGTCCCTCCACTGCTGAAGCCTGGGGTGGGTGACCTCCCTGGAGGTCAGACAAAAGAGATGTGTAGTGAGCCAGTAGCTGCCAGCCAGGAGGCTCTGCTGTATCTCCATGGCTGGAATAATGAGCACCTTGGCAGGGAGTGTATTTCCTTGATGAGGTGCTTCAATGCCGCAGCCAGCTCTTGCCCCAACCAGCTCACCCCACTTGCCTCTACTTCTGCTTTTGTGTTCTTCCAATATCTTGCTGTAGGGTTTGGCAGCTGAAGGAGCTTTGGGTTTTGCCAGACACTTTTCCACGTCAGTCAGTGCTCCATGGCTGTGTCCATGGGCGAGTTCACCCTTGCTCCCATGTCTGACACAGCAGTGATGGAGCCTGTGGACATGGCCCTTGGACTCCATTGGATGTGTTTTGCCAGTGTGACCCCATGGATCTGGTTGCTGCTTTCTGGGGTGAAGCCTCCTGAGCTGAATATCCCAAATATCCGTTTTCTTGGTGTGGATCTTGGCTGTGTCCTGGCTTGTTGCGTGCTCTCCTCAAACCTGATGCCATCAGCATGTTGGGGCACAGGCTATAACTTCTCCGGGGATGGGGCTGATCTCGATGAAACACACTGGTGATAACCCTGCTGAGACTTTCCAGGGTCTCTGGGATGGGCTGAGCCCCTTGAGAGCATTTACCTTTGGCTGTGGTCAGTGCATGGGCAGGTCCTTGGAGCCCCAAAAAAATATGTGGAGGGGCAACAGTGGGAGCTTAAAATACTTGCAGCGGGAGAGAAAAGAGCTTGTGCTGGCGGACTCACGAGCGTGGCGACCAGTGGCTGGGTCAGTCCCTGGGTCACTGAGGATGGCTGGAGCTGAGTTGGGGTTTAGTTTGCTTTGCTTTGCTTTGTGGGGACACTGGTGCTGGGAGGGAATGGCAGCTCTCCGTGAGCGGCAGAGCTCAGCAAAATGGCCGTGCACGGAGGAGCAGCGCTGATTTTGCCCCACCAGCCGCCATGGCGTGGCCGAGCTGGCCTTGGGGCCGGTGGCTGAGCTGGCCCCTTGCTCAGCAGCCCTGCACCCACCGCACTGCCCACACCGGGCCCCTGCACCCGCTCCCGGCACTCTGGGGCGTGCTGGCCCAGCCGGGGGATGTTGAGCATTAAACAAAAGAGCC